ATCTGTGAAATGCTTTTTTTAAAAAATGAAATGGTAATATTTCTTACTGTTTATTGGAAATCATCCAAGTTGTATGTGCCAGCAGAACGATAAGAACCGTTTAGACTGGTGGAGATTCTTCCATTAATTTAATTTAGTTTTGGATTGAGCTTTGCAGTTGTAGATTAGTAGCGATGGTGTATGTTAAAATGAAATTTTTGGATGTGGACATCCGGGAAGTTCTAGGAACTTGTTTGAATGTCTGAGATAGAAATGCAAGACACCTCCTGCTGTGTTGCAAGCTCATGCAGGAACAAACAAGTGGACACTGTCACTTAAATCCTTTCCTCATTCTGATTCCTAATTTACTTGTTTCTAGTATGAAGCTTTTGCCACAGTGGGTAGCTGGGAGGAAATAAAGTCTGTTTCTGGGATACAGGCATTAATTTATCTTCCTGTAGCTAACAACTTGTGGTAGAGAGGAAGCTCTACCTCTGGAACCTGATTATTTGCAGCTTTCTTCTTTTTGTGATAAGCCACTGTGGCAACGTCAGTCCCAAATCACTGCCTCACTTCATCTAACTAATAACATCTGTAGTGACATTATCGTGACTCACTTTGTTCCTTGCTTTCTTCCTGGCATTGCACCTCAAGCAGGAATACTGCATGACTGAAAGGCATTGGAGGCTCCTGCCAGGGTAGCTCCAGGCCAGTTTTCTAAAGCAACTGTGCTTTGGGTGGGCATGTTGCTTTTCCTGCTCTGCTTTGCAGTGGTCAGCGTGAAATAGCTATCCAGATCTTTAAAATGTGACATTAATGGAAGTAGCTTAAAGAAACCCAGCCCAGTTCTGTTATTCCTGGATGCCCACATCTGTCACTGTTTCAGGTGCACACTTTTGCACACAGCTTCACAGGCAGTTAATTCTTTTTTTCTAAGGAAAAGCAGGCTTTTTCATACTAATAGCCTGACACAGTTCCACAGAGGATGCTTCCATCCAAGCATGTGCTTACTAGTTGTTTGCCTTTGATAGAATTTAGAGCATAATACTAGCTTCTTGGCAAATCATTTTTATTTATTTATCTTTTTTAAGTTGTCAGCACTTTCATATCCTTACATTCATTTCCATTGACTGTCATCGAGATTGTCTTAATCGAAAAAACATTTCCTGTAACTTCAGCAGCTGTTCTCCTACAGTATATAATCCTGGTAGTTACGTTCATTTGGTGCAAGGTCACTACAGTAGGAAGGAAATGGTCACCATTAATAGGTGATATTTTCCTTGCAACAGTGCCATGTTGCCCTTGAGCAGGAATGTTAGGTGTGAGCTACTTAGTTTGTGAAGGGAATGTTTGGAGATCCCCACAGTTTGGAGGCATGCTGTCTCCCTGGTCTGACTGCTGGGGTTTGAGGGAGAGCATGAGTCATGCTGCAGAGATGCTGTGAGCAGCCCCAATTCTGATGGTGCTCATTGTAACAGCCAGCAGCTTCATGACTACTTCCACTGTTTGATGTTAGAATATGGAATTCCTCTTTGTGATTTACATGGGGTTTTTTTTGTTGTTGGTTTTGGTTTGTTTGTTTTTTTTTTGCTTTTGGGAAAATTCTGGATGTTTTCTAGAAGTTGCAAATAGTTACCTATGGATATCTTTAATTGAAGGTAACAAGTAGCAGATGTTCATTTGTCTTTAGAGATTCTTTGCATTTCATTGCTGTGTTGGTTTCTCAAGCCAACACAGATTTCCAATAGCTGAATTCCACGTTCAGATTTGCTGTGTACATCTGAAAGCAGTTACAGAGCAATAGAGCAATATGCACTAACACCCTCTTATTGGAGCTAAAACAAGTTGTCTTTTTATTTTTTTAACTTGCAACTCAGAACATTCTGGTATGTTTGGGGGGAAAAGAGAAAGCAGAGTGGCCAGTAGTCCTTCCTGAAGTTATACCATCTGTATCACCTTTCTGGCTGAGTCTTCTGTCTTCCTTTTCTTGTCCAGGCAAATCCTCTGTAGAGAAAGCATTATGTCTCTGTGCCTTGCAAGCAAACCACATCAAATGAAGGATCTGATAGATAACCCTTTCTGCTGTATCTTTTAATGCCTTGATCTCTTTTCCATGATTCTTCATATTTTAACAAATTGTGGTGTCAGGCTTTTTTTTAAACTGGAAGTTTCCTGCTTCCTAACAGCTTTGCAGTTGGAAGACTGAACAGTGCTTAACAAGATGAAGAAGAGATTTTTCAGTTCTCCTCTTTCTAAGACAGAAGAAAGCAAAATTAAACTGAAAATGCATTGTCTACTTTATATAAGCATAGATATCTGTATTGAGAGGGGGGGAGGCAGGAGGAAAGAACCTAAGAATTTAGTAGCAAACTTCAGTGAGAAGATAAAAAATTTTCCTATGACTTAATGCTTTTGCATCTGAAAAAAATACTGTTTATGTTATCTTGTCATTTTGGTGGAAACTTAAGAAATGATTTTCCTCACCTATATGCCTTCTAATTGTTTCTTTATACCTTAGAATCATGGAATTGTAGAATGGTTTGTGTTGGAAGGGACCTTAAAGATCATCTAGTTCCAACCCCCTGCTATAGGCTGGGACACCTCCCTCTAGACCAGCTTGCTTGCAGCCCCATCCAACCTGGCCTTGAATGCTTCCAAGGAGGGGGCATCCACAGCCTCACTGGGCAACCTGTTCCAGTGTCTCACCAACCATCACAGTAAAGAATTTCTTCCTAATATCTAGTCTAAATCTATCCTCTTCCTCTTTCCATCTACCCTCTACCTTACACCTTCTATTTTCTTGACTGGTAACTCAGATCAGGCTGCTGGTCTAGATGTCATCTTGTTTCCTAGACAGAACTTAGCAACCTTATTTCAATTTCTAAATTCACTACTAAATTACAGAATCACAGAATCATAGGGGTTGGAAGGGACCTCCAGAGATCATCGAGTCCAACCCCCCTGCCAAAG